TGATGAAGTAAAAGAGCTGAACAGAAGATTTCAAAGGGTGGCTCAATAAGACAAAGTATTATAACGAAATGTGCAAAGACCTGGAGTTAGAAAACCAAACGGGAAGAACATGCTAAGCATTTCTCAAGCTGAAAGAACTGAAGAAAAAATTCAAGCACTGAGTTGCAGTATTGAAGAATTTGAGCCCTGGTGGTGCAGTGATTAAGAGCTTGGCTGCTAACCAAAAGGTTGGCAGTTTGAATCCACCAGCCACTCCTTGGAAACACTATGCGGCAGTTCTAATCTGTCCTACAGGGTCACTACAAGTCAGAATCGACTCGGCAACAGGTTTGGTTTTTTGTTTTTGTTTTTTTAATAGGCAAAATATTGAACTACACAGGAAGCATCAAAAGAAGATGGAAGGAAGACACAGTCACTATACCAAAAAGAATTGGTGGGTGTCTTAGTCATCTAGTGCTGCTACAACAGAAATGCCACAAGTGGATGGCTTTAACAAAGAGAAATTTATTCCTTACAGTAAAGTAGGCTAGAAGTCCAAATTCAGGGTGTCATCTCCAGGGGAAGGCTTTCTCTCTCTCTCGGCCTTCTCATCAGTGTTCCCCTGGACTAGGAGCTTCTCAGCGCAGGTACCCCGGCGCAAAGGACGTGCTCTGCTCCTGGCACTGCTTTCTTGATGGTATGAGGTCCCCCTGTCTCTCTGCTCACTTCTGTATTTTATATCTCAAGAGATTGCCTCAGGACACAATCCAATCTTGTAGATTGAGTCCTGCCTCACTAACACAACTCATTAACATCATAGAGGCAGCATTTACAACACATAGGAAAATCACACAGTACAAGGAATCATGGCCCAGCCAAATTGACACACACATTTTCTGGGGGACATAACTCAATCCATGACACTGGGCATTCAATCATTTCAGGAGGCAGCATATGATCAAGAATTGATGGTACTGAAGAAAGAAGCTCAAGCTGGACTGAAGGCATTGGCAAAAAATAAGGCTCTAGGAACTGACAGAATACCAACTGAAATGTTTCGACAAATGGATGCAGCACTGGAAGTGCTCACTCGTCTACGCCAAGAAATTTGGAAGGCAGCTATCTGGCCAATCGACTGGAAGAGATCCATATATGTGCCCATTCCAAAAAAAGGTGATCCAACAGAATGTGGAAATTGTCAAACAATGTCATCAATATCCCATGCAAGCAAAATTATGCTAAAGATAATTTAAAAAATGGTTGCAGCAGTACATCGACAGGGAACTGCCAGAAATTCAAGCTGGATTCAGAAGAGGATGGGGAACAAGGGATATCATTGCTGATGTCTGATGACTCTTACTGAAAGCAGAGAATACCAGAAAGAGATTTACCTGTGTTTTGGTGACTATGCAAAAGAATTCAATTGTGTTGTTGTTGTTAGGTGCTGTTGAGCCGGTTCCGACTCATAGCGACCCTATGTACAACAGACCAAAACACTGCCTGGTCCTGCGTCATCCTCACAATTGCTGTTATGCTTGAGCCCACTGTTGCAGCCGCTGTGGCAATCTATCTCATCAAGGGTCTTCCTCTTTTTGGCTGACCCTCTACTTTACCAAGCATGATGTCCTTCTCTAAGGACTAGTCCCTCCTGACAACATGTCCAAAGTACATGAGATGAAGTCTTGCCATTCTTGCTTCTAAGGAGTATTCTGGCTGTACTTCTTCCAAGAAAGAGTTGTTCATTGTCCTGGAAGTCCACGGTATATTTAATATTCCTCGCCAACACCATAATTCGAAGGTATCAATTCTTCTATGGTCTTCTTTATTCACTGTCCAGCATTCACATAAGCATATGAGGTGACTGAAAACACCACGGCTTGGGTCAGGCGCACTTTAGTCCTTAAAGTGATATCTTTGCTTTTTAACACTTTAAAGAGGTCTTTTGCAGCAGATTTGCCCAATGAATTTGTCATTTGATTTCTTGACTGCTGCTTCTATGGGCACTGATTGTGGATCCAAGTAAAAAGAAACCCTTGACAACTTCAATCTTTTCTCTGTTTATCATGATGTTGCTTATTGGTCCAGTCGTAAGGATTTTTGTTTTATGTTCAGGGGTAATCCATACTGAAGGCCGTAGTGTTTGATCGTCATCAGTAAGTGCCTCAAGTCCTCTTCACTCTCAACAAGGAAGGCTGTGTCATCTGCATATCGCAGGTTGTTAATGAGCCTTCCTCCAATCCTGATGCCATGTTCTTCTTCATAGCCCAGCTTCTATGATTATTTGCTAAATATACAGATTGAATAAGTATGGTGAAAGGATACAACCCTGCCGCACACCTTTCCTGATTTTAAACTACACGGCATCCCCTTGTTCTGTTGAAGGACTGTCTCTTGTATGGATCATAACAAATTATGGATAACATTGTGAAGAATGGGAATTCCAGAACACTTAATTATGCTCATGTGGAACCTGTACATAGACCAAGAGGATGGCAAGACTTCATCTCACATACTTTGGACATGTTATCAGGAGGAATCAGTCCCTAGAGAAGAACACCATGCTTAATAAAGTAGAGGGTCAGTGAAAAAGAAGAAGACCCTCAATGAGATGGATTGACACAGTGGCTGCAACAATGGGTTCAAACACAGCAATGCTTGTGAGGATGGTGCAGGACTGGGCAGTGTTTCGTTCTATTGTACGTAGGGCCGCTATGAACTAGAAGCAACTCAATGGCACCTAACAACAACATCTCTCATCATTTCAAAAATTAACACCAGACAGATAATAATAATTTCATATGTAGTCCCCGGGTAGTGCAAACGGTGAATGCACTCAGCTGCTAACTGAAAGGTTAGAGGGTTCAAGTCTACCCAGAGGCACCTTGGAAGAAAGGTCTGGCAATCTACTTCTGAAAAATCAGCCATTAAAAATCCTATGGAGCACAGTTCTATTCTGACATACATAGGCTTGCCACAAGTTGAAATCGACTCTATGGCAACTGGAACTGGAAGCATTTATATAGCACTTACTGTAAGCTAGGCTGTGTTCTAACTCACCATTCACGTATGTTAACTCATGCAATCCTCATAACAACCCTTTGAGAAAGGTACTATTATTATCCACATGAGACACAGAGGTGAAGAAATGGCTTCACAGTGGCAGGGTTCAAAATGGAGCCAAGGCAGCCTGGCTCCAAAGTTGGTGTTCTTAAATCACTGTGAAAAATTTATATGTGTCAAACTTTGTGTTTAGGAAAACAACATGAGAATATCTTTCTGACCCTGGGGTAGGAACAAATATCTTAAATCCAACGCAAAAAGCATTACCCATAAAAGAAAATATGCATAAAAGTGGCTAAACGAACTACAGTAAGGACTTTTGTTTCATCAAAATATACCATAAAGAAAGTAAAAACACAAGCCACAAACTGGGAGAAGATATTTGCAACATGACAAAGAATTAAGATCCAGATATGTAAAGAATTCCTACAAATCAATAAGAAATACGGGCAAAAACACATTTCACAAGAAAGGATTTCTAAATGGCCAATAAATATAAGAAAAGGTACCATATTAGTTATGTGTGGCCGCACAAATCACTCCACAACTAGCAGCTTAAAATAACACACATTTATTATCTCACAGTTTCTATGGCTCAGGACTCTGACAGCAGCTTTGCTGGGCCCCTGTGACTCAGAATCTCTCATGAGGTTTCAGTCAAGATGGTGGTCAGGGCTACAATCTTATGTGACGACTGGGGCCAGAGGATTCACTTGTAAACTCACTGGAGATTGTTGACAGGATTCAGTTTATCGATGCCTGTTGGTGGAAGGCCTGCCCCAGGCCCTTGCCATGTGGGCCCCTTCATAGGGCAGCTCACAACATGGTAGTTGGCTTTCATTTTAGAGCAAGCTAGCCAAGAGCAAGAGAGAATACCCAAGAGGGAAGCCGAGTTTTTTTGTGACCTAATATCAGAAGTGAATTCCATCACTTTTGCTGGAAGGCATTCATTAGAAGTGAGTTCCATTGCAGAGCCATTGAAGCCAAGATGAACCCTGAAACTGTCACCCTGAGATAACCTTTAAACCTTAAACTAAAAATATCTCCTGAAGTCTTCTTTAAACCAAATAATCCCATTGGCTTCAAGTCAATTCCAATTCATAGCAACCCTATAGAACAGAGTAGAACTGCCCCATAAGGTTTCTAAGCAGCAGCTAGTGGATTCAAACTGCTGACCTTTTGGTTAGCAGTCAGGCTCTTAACCACTGCACCATCAGGGCTTCATACTGGGACCAAGAGGAACTCAAATATTGCTACTGGGAGTGTAGGCTGGTACGGTACTTTGGAAAATAATTTGGCATTATCTTGAAAGGTGAACATCTGTATCCCTAACAATCCAGGAATTCCATCCTAGGCATGTCCCCTAGAGAAAGTTCCTCATGTGTGCACCACAAGACAAGGGCAGGGATGCTCATAGTGGAACTGCTCGTCACAGCAACAACTGGGGACACTCGACTGTCTATAGACAGAATGAGCCCATACATCATGGCATTTTCATGCGGTGCAACATTAGACAGCAGGAAAAATGAACAACCCACCAAAAAACCAAACCAGTTGTGACCTATGTGTGTCAGAGTAAAACCTGTGCTCCACACAGTTTTCAATAGCTCATTTTTCAGAAGTAGATCACCACATCTTTCTTCCGAGGCGCCTCTGGGTAGACTCAACCCTCCAATCTTTCGGTAGCAGCTGAGTGCATTAACTGTTGCACCACCCAGGGATGAATAACCCACAGCAACACACAAATAACTGAACACCACACAGGTCATCTCAATGTGGATGATGGCTGATCAAATGAGATCCACGTTTACCACCACAAAGAACATGGAGCTCAAGTCTCAGACAGACCACCTACTCTATGACACAGTGGAAACACTCAGAGCCGGGCTCAGCAACAAAGGACACGAGAGCTGGGAGGATGCCGGGAGGTAAGGTGGTCTCGCCCCAAGGACAGAGAATACCTGACTCGCCAAGGTCACCGGCCCGGCCTGGGTCTCTGATGCCTTCCCCGCCTCTGGCCCAGTGTGTCTCCATGGACTCTTCTTCTTCCTCAGCCCACGTGGTTCAGGTCGCTTTCAGAGAGAAGCAGTTCTGGTCCTGCAAAGGACTGGGGGTCAGTGGCCATCATCCAGCAATGACCAATAGCCTTTATGAGTCAAAGGCAGCCCTGACCCCAGTCTGCCGAGAAATGGGAAGGAACAGGCTGAACCTGGCCTGTGTTGGGCACTGGCTAACCAGCCCCCAGGGCCCCAGTGATAAAGTCTGAATCATCTTTTCCCTCTCAGATGATAATGCACACAGCCTGGAGAAAACAAGTAACACCAAACAGAAACTTCTCCCTCTCAGCTTGGGAGGTGGCTCTAAACCTTCCTACCTCAGACCCCTCTTCTGAATACTGTGTGTGCAGGATTAAAACGAAACCAACTGTACTGAAATGTGGTTATTAAAACATTACAAAGCGAGATAAGTCAGTCACAAAGGGACCAAACACTGTATGATCTCGCTTATATGAAATAAGCAAATATAGAGAAACTAAAGGGAGGGGACGGCGGGGGGAGTTTTTGCTTACAGAGCATTAATGGTAGTGGAAAGGATGGCAAGAATGTTGGGGGAAAAAACATTTCAAGAACCAAATCCATCGCATCTTTATTACGTATATGCGCTGCACTGAATAACAAGGTCTACCTGTGGGCCCACTCCATACCAAAAGTTTATAGTGATGTGCTCAAGGCAAGGTAGGACAATACCTGCAATTTATCATAACAACAAAGCCACAGGTACTGCTAATACCACCGCGGTTTATTGTTGCCTAAACTCATCAAGGAAGAAAATCTCAACTAGAACTTCAGTGAAAATAAAGATGCCGTTTTTTTTCCCCTACCCAATTTCCCAGACCCCTAAATTCTGGGATGCCTGGACTCGAGGTTAAGAATCCCTGTTCTGGAACAAACAACTCATGATGTTTTCAAACACCTCCTGAGGAAGTCTAAATTGGTTCAAATTACCAACAGATCATTTTGGACAAAATGTATCAGAAGTCTACAAGCTTCATATACTGTAATTCAGAAATTCCACTACTGGGAATTTATCCCCCAGGGAAGTAACCAAACAAATGTGTACAATTGTTTGTTCAAGGATGTTCAAGCAGCTTTGTTTTTAGAACTGAAACACTGGAAACCATCCAAGTGCCCAACAATAACAAATTTGTAATAAGCTGTGGGACAGTCACATACTGGGCCGCTGTGCACTTGCTCAGGGCGACACACTGTACTCCTACAGTTTTAACAAAAATATGTTTGCTATAGATTAAGTAAGAGTGGGTGAGAAGGTACTTTACATAAAATGTCCCAATTTAGAAAGTATAAAAGTTTCAGAAAAATATACACTGAGTTAGTACCTGAATTCAGCTCTGGGGCATGGAATTTCAGATTCATTAAAAAACTTTTTTTTTTTCCACATTGAAAATGGATTACTTTAATGTAAAACTTTTCTATTCTCTCTCTAATGTCCCTTTTATGCTATATAATACTGTTTCATTCTGCTTTAAAATGTTTGCAAGTTTTAAATATTTTTGATAAAGTACTTTTACATTATTTTTTAAAACTTTTAAAAATTTTTTTAAAAAGCCACTGAACAAAGACTCTGCCTCTAAATAGAAGCTTGTTTTCTTGTATAGCAGTGGTAGCAACCTGTTCCAAGGCCCCAAGCGTGAGAATTACGGTGAACCACGTGAATGCCCAAAAGGCCCCATGAACCCATGTAAAGAAGAAATCGCTGGGCTGTTTATAAACAAAGTTGCAGCATCGGCCTGAGTCACTGGACATCAGGTACGAAAGGCAGTGCCTGGGCCAAGGAGATAATTTCTGCTCTAAAACCCAGCAAAAAGCTCTGCCGCGTGACGCCGAGGGCCACCCAGCCATCGGGCTCCAGAGTTGGGAAGAAACGTCGTTACCTGGTCCTTTTGGGGAGGTGCACCTAACTGTAACCCCTACTCTCACCTGTCCAGATGTTAAAGACAAGGCCGTCCGGTTCCTTCCACGCACCCTGCACCAAGGAGACCCTCGACCTCCCCGGAACCTGCCTCCTGGGACCACGCCCCTCCCCGCCCCTGTGGCCGGGTCCCCTTTCCTGCCCCCTCAGACCCCTTAAGCTCCCCCTGCGCCCCTTCCTCCCTCCCCCCGCCAGCCCAGTCCTGCCTGCGAGTTCTCGCGCCCCGGAAGGGCTGGGCCCCCGCCCTTAGAAGAGGCAGAGGAGAGAGGACGGCCCAGAAGGGGGCGCCGAGTGGGAAGGAGGGGGCGCCGCTGTCCAGGAGGCCACGCGGGGCCGGAGCGCGGCGCGCGGCAGGGAGGACTGGCTGGAGTGAGCCGGCCGCCGGCGGGGAGGGGTTGGGGCCAGGGACCAGGTGGCGAGGAAAGGGCTGGCCGGAGACGTGCGGCCGGCCCTGCAAGCGACCCCGCGGTGGCCGCTCCTCCGCCAGGGCCGAGGCCGCGTTTCCGAGCAGGACGGGCCCCTCCAGGTGGCCGGAGCTCGAGGGGGCCCGACGCAGCTGCCCGGAGCGGCGACCTCGGGCCGCACAGCCGGGCCCGGGGCGCGGCTGCGGGGTCCCGGCGCTGCGGAGCGGGGGCTAAATCTGTGACCAGGTGACTGCAGTGAATGAAACCGGGTAACAGCGAAAGAGGGGCGGTCCGACTCGAGCTCCTCGGAGGAAGTGACACATGAATGAGAGGGAGCGAGGGGACCGCTGGCGATCAGGGAGGGGTCCCAGACCCGGACGCCGCGAGGGAGGGGGCCGGGGGCGGGGGTGGGACCGGCCAGCGCGGCTAGCAAGGCGGGTGGGCTCAGTCCCGAGAGCGCGGGACGCCCATGTCATCTGTGTGTTAATTCAGCATCTTTCCCAACTACCCGGCCACCCTTGGAGAAGCGGCCCCGATACTTCCAATCACGATGCATGCTCCCAACCAGAGAGGGGAAGACGGCGGGCTGGGGGCCTCCTGGCGGCACAGAGCAGCCCCCCGCGCCCTCGGGCCGGCCTCTGCCTCCGGCCGCCGGATACTACATCATCCTCAGAGGAAGACGCGCCCGAAACCAGAGACTTCCGCGCCGAGGCCCGTACCTCCCAGAATATCAAAAAATGGTACCCTGGCTCTCGATGTGTGCAACCGTAGTACTGTGGCTGCGTGACTATGGTCGTCGTGTTGTGGAGCAGTGACGTCCCCACCGGGGGCTGCAAAGGGCAGGAAAGGGCGCTGCGGGCCCTGGGATGCCAGGGGACGCGGAAGCGACCTGCCCAGGACCCTCCTGAGGCCGTGCGAGCGTTTCACTGACAGAGGGATAGAAGCGACGCCCTTCTGCAGCCTGGAGTCGCAGCTAACACCACCGCGCGGCCCCTCCACCCACCGATCGGACCGAGGCCGTGGAACGACAGCACGTGCGGAGGTCTCCGTGCGCATCCGGGGGGCGCAGCGGACGCCCGGGGCCTCGGCCTGCGGGCATCGGATGGCAGGTGCGCTGGCCGCTCGCCCTGGGGTCGAGAGCCCACCCCGGGGGCTCTGCGTCGGCGGCAAGGGTCACTCTCGAGACGCTCCGGCAGCTCCAGCGCTGGGAGCCGATTTTGGGCCAGTCTCCTAGCCCCAGGCCGGCCCCTCCCCAACCGATGGGCCTTGGTGGATGGGCCAAATGAGTTTGGAAAGGGCCTTGCCGGGCGAGATCTTGATAAGAACTCGCCTCGCGGCTGGCGCGGAGCCGCCTGGACAAAGGGGTGCCCAGGCCAAACACTCTGCAAGGGGCGGTGCGCTGCCTTAAGGGCGCGCGCCATTTAAGGTGGTCTGCGGCTCAGCCGGTGGAAAAGGCCGCCTGGCAGTCTCCAGGGCTGGGCAGACGCTGGCGGAAACCGAAAACGGTCTGGGCTACCACATAGAAAGAACCGGTACTGCTCCTCCCTGGGACTGGGGGAGCCGCCAACATGGAAGCCGGCTCCAACCCAGGCCTCCGAAGAGCAGCGGGGGCCCCGGGAGTCTCCCCTCCAGAGGAGCTCGGCAGGTGATTTTGGCGCCTTCTAAAATGGATTAACATGGCTGACTTGTGCTGTCTCTGGGCTACAAGGAGAGGGTTACGTAGTTAAAACAGATCATGGAAGGGTCCAAAACAGACCACTTTGTCATTTCCCCATCCAAAAAACTTAAGCAGCTGAGCTTTCTCGAGATGGGGAGGAGGAAACAGTTGGAAGGGGTCCACAGGGGTCCTGAGAGCTGGTCTGCAAGAGGGAGCTCCCCTAGCTGAGTGCCAGCGACCTGGACCAAGGGCCGAGCACTTGGCACAGTTCCTGGTACCGAGGGCATCCACAAATACACAGGGCACCATCCAGAAATGGAGTAGATGGGAGAGAGGTGTGTAAGGGCACTCCAAAATATGGGGTGATTGTCGTAACTAAAATGGCTAATTTCAGACCTAAATTAAGCTCCATTTTAAATTAAACGGCAGGCTAACTGAAGTCTCTGCCTCTACTGTTCTGAAGAGACCGTTCAGGTTTTTATAAAAGTTTAACTGCTCCTAACACAAAAGAGGTAAGGGTCAGAATGTTTTTTAGCTTGTACTAAGAATTGTTTGTTAAAATATATGTCAAGAATGTTCACACAGCTTTTCCTAGGGGAAAATACTTTAGTCAACATGAGGTTAGAAAATAGAATTGATAATGTTAAGATGAAGCCCTGCGATTGTCTCTTAACTCTGTAACCAAGATGAAGTAAAAGCCAATTAACCAAGTCTTAATCTTACTATCTCAAACTAGACTTTATTCACTCTGTTGCTATAAGTCAGAATTGACTCAATGGCAACAGGTTTGGTTGACCGTCACCCCGTTTCTATTGACTTTTTGTAAAATCTGTAATTAAGGTAGAAATATAGCTTCTTTCTTTAAGAGGAAAAAGCAAACATGCAGAAGGATGACTCGGTTGTTCCCTGGGATGTTAACTAGTAGACTTGCTGATTTTAAAAAGAATGTCTTGGTCAAACATATTCCGGGAAGTTAAAGAGATAAATGTAAAGTTAGAGATTGATGTAAAGAAAGGTTGTAGTTTAACAACTTCCTTTTAACTTTTTTTTCCTCTTCTTTCTGAAACCCCATGGCCTGTGAGCATTCTTTGTTTGCTCCATCTGATAAAAACTTCACTGTTTCCTCCAATTGGGACACTTCACTATCCCGCCTGGATACTTGTGTCTCCCAGTTGCACGAAACTTTTTATCCTTCAATAAAACTCTTTATTTTTTATTTCTGACAAAGTGTAAGTCTAGTGTTTTGCCATGACAGAGATGAGATGTGGAGAATGGTGTGCCGCGTACTATGCGGGCCCTAGGAATGGAGCGGAGCACAGGGTGGCCTGGCCGCTGCTTGGACACCACTACTGCGCAGACGGCCTGGAAGGAGCTTGTAAACCAAATGAGCGGGATTCTGATCCTGTGTGGGATAGGGAGCCTAGGCTTCCTTGGGGGGCGGGCTTAGGCTTCCATGGGAGAGCATTTACGCTCACACAGGCGGGATGAATCAGAAGCGAGGCGTTATAGGGGGCCAAGCAACATAGAGAGGTGACGCCCCAGGCCAGATACAGAAGGACCCAGGATTTTGCCCAGGGGAGGATGAGTGGGGCGCCGGAGTTCACCTCGTCACTGCCCACCGTCACGGGACTGGGTCACCAGCCCCCAAATCTGTGCGAGAAAGCGGACCCGAGGTGTCTGATCTGAGCACCTGGTAGGGTTCGTGACACGTAGGAGCCCCGGGAACCTGGCATTTCGGTGCCTCCCCGCGGGACCCGGTGTCAGCAGTTGAGCAACGGCGCTGCTCTTCCTGGAAACCGCGGGCAGGCGGAAGCGCTGACTGCAGGATGGACCGCCAAGCAGAAGTGACCCTCACAAACCCGGCCTGTGCAACTTCCCCCGGCCGGCGCTGGGAGGCGGGCAGTCCCGGCCGTCGAGGGGCGAGCCGGAAGTGACGAGGCGGAAGCCGTCGGCGCGAGCCTTGGCCCCCGTTGACGCTGTGAGTTTGGAGCCCCGGGAGTCTCCGCAGTAGCATCGCCCGCTATCGCAGGGCCCTGGGGGGTAGTGCCGCAGGGTTCCCCGCGGCCGCCCTTTTGTCGCACCCAACGCCGTACCACCGCAGCCCAGGAGGAGACGGGACGGAAGCAGCGGGCTGGCCCGGCTTGTATTCCCCAGGGCCGCTGCCCGAGTTTCCGTTTCAGGGGCGGAAAATCCACTTCACATAGGCCTGGTTTGAAAAAGAAAAACGAACAGAACACATTGGTTTATGCACTGACACGGGCCCAGCACTAGAAGGAGCTCTGGCGTAGCTGGATCAGCCTGAGACCCATCGCCCTGCCAGTCGCCCAATAGTCCCGCAGGGGTGGTCCCGCGCAGACGCTCGAGGCTCGTCCTTGTCCCAGTTACATCCCTAGGGATAAGCTCTCAGGAGGAGTGAAGAAATTACGGGCCAAAGGGTTTTTTTTTTTAAGATTACTTTTAAAGTTTGTTCAATTTTCACTTGTTTTTCTTTACGTTGTCTTAAATCAACTTTTTCGGAACTATTGGGCAGGTGGTATGGGCTTCCTTCCTCCGTCCCACCTCCGCAAGGTGCCAGCTCTGCGCCTGCCTGTAGGTGACCTTGAGACCTGTGACCCTGTTCCCTTCAGGCACTTTTGCATGGGAGCGGGGTGGAAGGAGGGGCAGGGAGGGTCAGCGAGTGCCGCTCTGCAGCCCTGGGAGCTAGTCAGGAGCTGAAGCCTGAAAATAGAAAATACAAAAAGAATGCTGCAAAAGTTTAAATACACACCTCAGTGTAATCCAATGTCATCTCCATCATGGCTAAATTCATTTTTCATGAGCATTTCATAAATCTGAAAGCAGTTTGCATATTAGGCTTTTCGTAGGTTGCACAAAACCCCAGATGCCCAGGCAGTTGTGGCCACCTCTTGGTCAGCAAGTTAGCTGTGGTCAGCAAGTTGGTTGCAGCCAATTAATTTCAAAGCAAATTTGTAAAAAATCCTACATTTCATGTGGGACATGGGTACATTTTAACAAATTTGAAATAATGTCCTGCCAGGCAGCCCCCTCCTCTCACCAAAAAGGACAGTACCCCCTCCCCCTGCAAAGCTGCCCTCTGGGCAGTGCTGCCGACACTACCAACCGCTGAAGCCAACCATTTGAAAGTGCACAATTCAGTGACGCTTAGTACATTCACATTGTTGTGCTACTACAAAATATTTCAAAATATTTCCATCACTCCCACCACCTCTCTCTAGTTTCAAAATATTGCCATCACTCCAAAGTAAAATTCCTTACCCATTAAGCAGTTTCTCCCCATCTCCGCCACCCCCAGTCTCTGGCAACCACCAATGTGTGTATTCTGTCTCTGGATTTGTCTATTCTGCGTATTTTATATAATGGAATCATATAATATGTGGTCTTTTAAGTCTGACTTTTTCACTCAGCATAACGCTTTAAAGGTTCATCCATGTTGTAGCATGAATCATTTTTATGGGAGCATAATATTTTGTATAGATATACTACATTTTGTTTATCCATTCATCTGTTGATGGACGTTTGGGCTGTTTCCATCTTTTGACTATTGAGAATAGTTACTGCTATCAACATTGGTGTACAGGTATCTGTTTGAATCCCTGTTTTCAATTCATTTGGGTGTATACCTAGGGGTGGAATTACTGAGTGGTATGGATTTAATTGTATCCCCCAAAAAATATGTGTTGTAAATCTTAACCCCTATATCTGTGGTTATAATCCCATTTAGGAAGGGATTTTCTTATGTTAATAAGGCAGTATTAGTGTGGGGTCCCCCATGCGTCTGTCAGTTTGTCATACTGTGGGGGCTTGCGTGTTGGCTATGAAGCTGTCACCGGTATTCAAATACAAGTGAGTCACCAACGGCAGACAGGTTTCAGATGAACTTCCAGACTCAGACAAAACTAGGAAGAAGGACCTGGTGGTCTACTTTAAAAAGAATTAACCAGTGAAACCTTATGAATAGCAGCGGAATATTGTCTGATACAGTGTTGGAAGACAAGCCCCCTAGCTTGGAAGGCACTCAAAAGACTACTGGGAAAGAGCTGCCTCCTCAAAGTAGAGTCGACCTTAATGACGGGGATGGAATCAAGCTTCCAGGATCTTCATTTGCTGATGTGGCATGACTCAAGATGAGAAAAAACAGCTGCAAACATCCATTAATAACGGGAACATGGAATTATGAAGTATGAATCCAGGAAAATTGGAAATCGTCAAAAATGAAATGGAACACATAAACATCAATATCCTAGGCATCAGTGAGGGGAAATGGACTGGTATTGGCCATTTTGAATTGGACAATAATATAGTCTACTATGCCAGGAATGACAACTTGAAGAGGAATAGCATTGCATTCATCATCAAAAAGAACATTTCAAGATCTATCCTGAAGTACAACCCTGTCAGTGATAGGATAATATCCATACCCCTACAAGGAAGACCAGTTAAAACTACTATTATTCAAATTTACCCACCAACCACTAAGGCCAAAGATGAAGAAATTGAAGATTTTTACCAACTTCTGAAGTCTGAAATTGAAAAAACATGCAATCAGGATGCATTGATAATTACTGGTGATTGGAATGCGAAATTTGGAAACAAAGAAGGATCAGTAGTTGGAAAATATGGCCTCGGTGATGCAAACGATGCGGGAGATCACATGATAGAATTTTGCAAGACCGACGACTTCTTCATTGCAAACACCGTTTTTCAATAACATAAATGGTAACTATACACATGGACATCGCCAGATGGAATACACAGGAATCAAATAGACTACATCTGTGGGAAAGAGAAGATGGAGAATCTCAACATCATCAGTCAGAACAGGGCCAGGGGCCAACAGTGGAACAGACCATCAGTTGCTCATGTGCAAGTTCAGGTTGAAGCTGAAGAAAATTAGAACAGGTCCATGAGAACCAAACTACAACCTTGAGTATATCCCACCTGAATTTAGAGACCATCTCAAGAATAGATTTGACTTGCTGAACACTGACTGAAGACCAGATAAGTTGTGTAATGACATCTGTCTTAGTTATCTAGTGCTGCTATA